CAGACCTCATCAAAGAGTTTCTTTGCATGGTGGATATGGTTAACACAGAAACTCAGCTGTTCAAATTCAGAGATGTGATCCTAGAGTACTCAGCCACACTGGGACATCTTTATCACACTTCCTCCCCCAAACTCTGGGATCATTGTGGAAGAGGTATTAGAAAGATTATAAAAAGACTAGGGCAAAATCATTTACTCTGGACATGAAAAGACCATTGCACTCATGAAATCGCAGCAGCTGCTGCTGCATGCATAAGAACAAACTGGTCAACATTTCAGCTGGAGAGATGAAGGTACTCAGGAGGCCCCACCCATAGCTACAGAACTGTTGAGTCTGTTTTCATTAAGAATAATGTCCCTATTTGCTTCATCACACCTATGTCTGGAAGTGTGGGGAAGGCACAGGCAGGCAACTATTTCACAGGTGTTTATGTGTTGTATCTAAATAAATAAAGAACTATTAAAATTTCAGGTAAAATTTAAAAAAAATAATAATATTCCTGGTAGGTTCACCATGTTCCCGTGGAAGGTCCCACACATTGAAATATATGGACAGCAGACATCAGAGTTGATGGGCTATTGAGATAACACTAATAAAAGTAAACAAACAAATAAACAAAAACAAAAATGTAGCAGATCTGGAGAGTTTTATGGCTTAGACTATGTTAGGCTATGTTCAACGTTCAAAGATAGGTAGCCCAAAATTTGTATAACTTCTAATCCAATAGATAAAACCAAGAATTGATTTTCTGCAACTCATATTACCTACACAGGTAAGTGATCAAATATTCTTCATATAAATAAATCATCTAGATATTCAAATTTAAAATTTAATGATTTGGATTATCTTTTGTTCTGCTTCTCTTAATTTTATAAGATTTCTTGTCAGTATGTGTAAAACAGTTTCAGTTTACACAAAGCTTCAAAACCTCATCTGACTGTACTCATTTTGTAGACATTTTGTCAAGTACTTGTATTAAGGATGTCTAAATAATTTTGAACAAAATATAGTCAAACTTTACAAGATAAGTTTATAATCAAGTTCAATGTCTTATAGGATATCTATTTCAATTTACAAATAATATATTCAGTGGATTAAATATTTAAAAATGCATTTGATGATGATAAGCAATTAGAATAATGAAATAATTAATGTCTGGTGTATTACTTTATTCAATATTATGAGTGTCACATTTTGTTGCAAATTACTGTATACTATAAATAATTATATATATATATATATATCACATGCACATACTTTTTTGAGTAAACTAAAACTGTTTAAAACATAGATAACAAATAAGCTTGTTTTTATAACATATTGTGGTGGTTTGAAAGAAAATGGTCCCCAAACACAGTGGTACTAATAAGAGGTGTGGCCTTTTTGGAATAGGTGTGACCTCGTTGAAGGAAGTGAGTCACTGTGGGGGTGGGCTTTGAGCTCTGTTATGTCCAAACTACACCCAGTGAGATGGACAGCTTCCTGTTGCTAGGAAAAAAGTACAGAACTCTCAGCTAGCTACCTCTCCAGCTCTGTGTCACCTGCACACTGCCATGTCTTACCACAATGATAGGGGACTGTGCCGCTGAACTATAAGTCATTCCATTAAATGTTTCCCTCTATAATATTTGCCTTGGCCTTGGTGTCTCTTCACAACAATAGAAACCCTAACTAAGACAGAAATTGGCACCAGGGACTGGGGTATTGCTGGGATAGGACTGATCATGCTTTTGTTTGAGACAGTAGAGACGTTGTTAGGGTAATGTTTTAAGTGCTGCTTTAATGGGCCACATTAGTAGAATCGTGGAAGACAGTGGTGTGGAGAGTGACTTGAACTGTGGGGGATTGTGCTCAAGATGTTTCAGAGGAAAAAAATTAGTATATTGCCTGGAGATCATTCTTGTGATAGTTTGGTGAAGAATGTGGAGCTTTTGCACCATGTCTGCAGAGTAAGTCTGAGGCTAAAATGAAGAGTTTTGGATTAATTCCTTTGGCAGAGAAAAATCTCAAAACAACCTAGTATAGACTCTATGTTTTGTTTACTGATGTTCATGCTTAGAAGATTTACAATGAAGAAGAACAAGCTAAGCAAGAAAAATTAGAAAATGTACAGATTGAGGAAAAAAGTGGCGCCAGGAAGTGGAACAGAGCCAGCTCCTCTATTCAAGGAGATAAACCAGCTAAGAAATGGAATAGAGAGTATGACCTCAGGGTACGATCCCACCCAGTTAAGTTTCCAACTTGTAAAAAGGAATTAAAGATAAGTTTAGAGCTAGGTCTGGTGGTGCTCACCTTTAATCACAACACTCACATAGCAAAGGCTGGTAGATCACTGAATTTGAGGCCAATCTGGTTTATAGATCAAGTTGAAAAACAGCCAAGCTTATGCAGTGAAGGAAACCATAGAAAACAGAAAGCTGGCAAATATGTAATTGAAGGTTCCAGCCCATGTTCCAGGCCCAGCAAGCAGCAGAACTTGGCAGATTTGACTATGTGGTTCTGGCTTTAGAGTTAAGGACAGAAGAAGGGGCTATAAAATTTGATCTATGTCTAAGGAAAGCCACTTGAAGTCAGGCATGTATCAGGGGTGTCCCTGAATGGAGGCCTTGAGAGGCCATTGTATGAAGCTGTGAAGTTGAAGCCTGGATTGCCTTGGAGACCTCAAGAGATGTTAGAGATGCCAGAGCTGTGAGATGTCTGCCAAAGAAAGCTGCTAACAGGGAGTGAAACCAGCCCAAGATAAAGAAGTGTGTTTCAGTCAACAAAGCTGAAAGGAGATGGGAATCTGAAGATCATTTTTGACATCAGACATGAGGATTCAGAGGTTGGAGTGTGCCCAGCTCATTTTTGGTCTTGTTTTGGTCCAGTGTTTTCTCACTATGGTCCCTTCCCTATGTTTAGGAATGGTAATGTATATCCTGTGCCATTATATGTTAGAAGTATGTGGTCTGCTTTATGATTTTGATTTTATAGGGGATTGGAGTAGGTGTGGCCCTGTGGGAAGAAGTATGTCCACTGTGGGGGTGGGCTTTGAGGTCTCCTTTGCTCAAGCTATGCTCAGTGTGGTACACCATTAACTTTGTGTTGTCTGTAGATCAAGATGTAGAACTCTCATCTCCTTCTCCAGCACCATAGTATAATATATAATGTGATATTATATATTCAACTGTCATTCAACTACACATATGGTCTTCCTAATTAAATATAAATATACAAAGCAAAACCTTAGGGGAAAATAGAAAATTATTTCACTTTGTGGTACAGAGACAAATTATCAAACAAAAAAGAAAAACATTACCAACAAATGTAAATAAAGTAGGCCCAATAGAAATGAAAAGTTAAAGCCTAGACAGCAGAAAGATATTAACAAAAATATGATGGATAAAATTTGAGTGAAATTGTCATGTAACAACATTGACTTCCATCATGTAAAACCTACACACACACATACACAAACACACACACACACACACACACACTCACACAGATATACATTTTTGTTTATAAGAATATATATATGGAGTATTAGTTTATTTACATATAGGAATTACAGAAGAATAAATATTAATACTAATTAAGTCTGTGAAATTAACAGTGAAATAACAGTGAAAGAAATTGCTTTAATATTCCTAAAACACTTAAAATATGAAGGATTGTAGGAATGAATAACAAGATTTCTCATATGTAGAAGATGTGAAATGATGAAAATCTTGGAAAATACATGTGGAGGTTTAAGCATTTCCTACAAAATTATCAAGTATTTCTTCTGTTCAGTGTATACCTTACAACCCAGACTTTAATCTGTGAGTGTTCATATATGGTCCGTGTAACTAAATGTGGGCATCATGAAAGAACTGATAACTCTAAGAAGTTTTTGAGAGCACAGTAATGAAACTCTGTGCTTCAAATCAAACATGCAATGAGTCCCCAATGTTTCCTGTGTTGCATCTGGTTACTTCATTGTGATCTTGTTTCGAAATGTGTGGCTTTGGAGTTCAATGTTTCCTGCTCTCATAGAAGCACAATGATTTGTTAAGGAAAAACAATGAGTTTTAAAAGTATGTTTATTTATTTTGATTTTCTGTGTTTTGCCTGCATGTATGTATGTATGTATCTCTCTGGTGCTAATATTGGTACGCATGAAACTATAGTTTTAGATGTTCTGTGAACCACCATGTGAGTACTAGGAATCAAATCTGGGTTTTCCAAATAAGCAATAACCACTTAGCCATCTTTCCAGGCATGGAAAACAATGACTTTGATATTTTTATTACTATTCTTTAACATAGAAATATAAAATTATTTTTACATGTCTTCAAAGCATAAAATGTTAGAATGGTTGATTTTTAAAAATTGTTATTTGACTTAACTTTCATTTTTTAAAAAAATCACTAAATTAATTTTGGCCTGAGAGTAAGATAGAAATTCTAACAACTTTTGAGAGGGGGGTAAACATGCTCTTTTAATTTTGTACTATGTATTTAATGTGAAACCACATAGTCAGCATCAACTATAATAAAATAAAAATATTGACCAGCTCCCAAAACCACTGAAAATTCTTTAGATCTTATAACATCAAACTTTTACCCATGAAAATTCATATGAAATAAATAAGTATATCCAACCATTAGTGTGCAAATTTTCTGTTATCTTTGCTAGGTGGAAAATCATATGCATTCTAGACAAAATAGTACTCTAAATAAGTTTCTTTATCATTTATTTTCATAAAATATTGGGATGTGTATCCATCTTGGGTGAGAGTATATGAGTGCATAATGCTGAAGGCGCTCTTTGTGAGGAATCATTTTTCTGAGTGTAAAGAAACAAGTATAAAAACATTCACTGTATCCACACTTGAAATGGGTAAAAGCTAGAAACAAGCTAAATATCCTTTCATGATTATGATAAACTGTGTATTTATATAACACTGTTCCACACAGCTGTATGAGCTATTCAATTTGATTCATGTATATAAGCCTTAGGTTGGTTATTTTGTATTTAACAATATGGAATGCTTCATGAATTTGTGTATCATCCTTTCACAGGGGCCATGCTAATCGTCTCTGTGTTGTTCCAATTTTAGTACTTATGCTGCCAAAGCAAGCACACTTACTGAGTTTGTAGCACTTATGTTCACTCATGCTACTAAATATAAACCTAGTTTTTACATCTTAACTGCCATTAAATTCCCATAAATATGTAACTTGAATTTTCTGTTCAATTTTTTTTATATATGGTATGTAAATCATGATGTATTCTGCAAAATTTAAATCACATCAGTCAGTTTTCTACTTCAGTGAATGGTGAAAACTGATTCAGTAACCATAGAGATAAATCATAAATATTCCATTTCAGGGTTTTAATGGAAATTAAAAAATTGGGTGGAGTAATGGAATAGGAAAGTGCTACAGATTTAATTGCATCTTTAAGGTTTTATTTCTGTGTGTGTGCCTCTGTGTGTGTGTATGCTCATGTGTTTGTGGCAATATGTTTATAAATGGGTGTGTCTCCAAATGTATGTAAATGCATGTGAAAACAAGAGGACAATTACTAGTGCTGCTTCTTAGGCACTAACCACCCCAGTATTGAAGACATGGTCTCCCAATGACCTGGAAATTACAAAGTAGGCTGCTCTGATTGGCCAGTGTTTGAAGAAAATAATCTGTTCAATCTTGGTGATTGGATAAGGAAACAATTCTCTGCTTGTTTAATTACAACCATAAGTCATGCTCCTCGATCATCTCTTAGGCTCATTTGTGTTTTTCCTTAAGCAAAGACTTATTCTGCATTAGTTGAACAAGAACAATCACCTCATACCCTTGAGATGATACTTCACTTTCCTTCACCTGGATACAATACATACACCTACATGTCTGTAAAGGGGATCCTGCTAAGTTTCTTATTGTTCTGAGGCACAGTTTAGGCAAGTTCATGATTCCATATGCACTGGTATACCATGAATTGGTGGAACGAAGCACTTCAGATTTTTCAGCCAGAAAATATAGAGAGGTATAGGAGGATGGTATGGTGTAGAACATGGCGTCAGAACTCCTTGATCTAGCATAACAGAAGACTCATAGCCATTGAAAACTAGTTCTTTAATGGTTACCCCTTAAACTCCTGAAAACCAGAAATGAATTCTCTGCTCTTGTGAATGTGAATGTCATAGATACATCATAAAAATGGAATTCTCCATTTTTATTTAACTCCAGATTTTAATACGTTTTATAATAGATGCTCCAACTAGAGCTTACCACCAAGTAGCTTCTCAAGCCTCCTCTATTGGCATCATTTTAGTTTACCTTTATCTGTGACTTCCTAGAAACTGTTGGAACAGCTGGAGTCAGGACTACTTATTAGCCTCTGCTCACATTGCTAATGCCAATTACTAATTATTTATCCAATTTTCTTTTAATACCATTTCATAATTATAACTTTAAATAATTTATGCAAACTAAATACATCCTCTCTGACTATATATTAGTCATAGCCAAACTATTTTTTTGTTTCTGTAACTATAGCATGCAAAGTTATTGAATTAATAAGTTGGTGTAATTTCTATATGTATTCTTTTAATAATATCATGTTGGTAGGTATTTAATAACATTAGTGATAAGTGTTATCATATCAATGTATCATAATATAAATAACACAAATTATATGCATAGCTCTGTGATATATTTATAATCTGAGTTGTACATTCATGAGAACTTATAATTCAACTCCACTTGTTCAATGTATTGTAAAAAGATATATTCTCAAAATACTCCTTGATAAATTTATATAGGCATTTATTTTTTCTATTTGTGAGACTAAAAGTAGAAGGAATGCAATTTTCATTCACTTAATAATTTCACTCACAAACATTAGATATGTATCTTATGCTAGGTAAAATGTTAGTACCTTAGCATGCATCTGCAGGCATCATAGGTAAAGAGTGAACTAGGAAAGAAAAAGGATATATTTTGAGTGGTCAGATAGAAGTTACTAATAAGCTAACTTATGAATGATGCAAAAAGCTATAAAAAGAGAAATAATTCTCTGACATAAGGAAAATCATAGCAAATATAAAATAAAGAGTAACACCTGGAGGAATAATGATGAATGCAGGTAAAGAATGGAGGGAGAGCTGGATAATATATGTCCCTCTGGATCAAGATAATAATACTGATATTCTTTTACAAGTGCAAAAATGTCACCCAAGGATTTTACACAGGTAATAATGCTGAGATACACTGGGAGAAAAAAAGACAAAGTCATGCTGTGGGATAATGCTCTTGTACATTGTAAAGATTTGTCACTTGAATTGGTTTAGTAAAAGGCTGATTGGCCACTAGCCAGTAAGGAAGTGTAGGTGGGGTGACCAGACTAGGAGAATCCTGGGAAAAGGAAGGGCAGAGTCAGGAATCACCAGTCAGATACAGCAGAAACAAGATGAGAATGCTGCACTGAGAAAAAGATACCAAACCACGGGGCTACCTATAGTTAAGAAATATGGGTTAATTTAAGTGAAAGAGCTAGTTAGTAATAAGCCTGAGCTACTGCCTGAGGATTTATAAATAATATTAAGTCTCTGAGTCAATTATTTAAGAAGTGGCTGCTTATAGATGTAACCAACCGTCTTATTAAATAAGAAACACAGAGCCAATACAGAGATGAAAGCCAAAAGTCAGAGCAATAGCTAAGATCTAAAAACCTTACCCTTCACTGCCGCTGTTGCACTACCTCTCCGAAAGAGACCCACTTCCTGTGTGTCTGTCTTTTTATAGTGTTTCTGTTCTGCCTTCTCATTGGTTGTAAACCCAACCACATGACCTCCTAGTCACCGCCTGTCTGTACAGACTTCCTGGTTTTCTATTGTTGCTATTGAGATTAAAGGCGTGTGTCTCCATGCTGGCTGTATCCTTGAACACACAGAGATCTGCCTAGCTCTGCCTCCCAAGAGCTGGGATTAAAGGCATGCACCACCACCGCCCATCTTCTGTGATGGCTTGTTATTAGCTCTGACCCCCAGGCAACTTTGTTTATTAACATACAAATCACATTTTAGTACAAATAAAATATCACCATAGCTGCTGGGTATTTGGGAACAGGCAAGCAGGAGAGAAACTTCTGCCTACAAAGGAAACAAACAAAACCCATCTAGTTTGCCATTTCCACACAGTGCTAGAATTAGAAAACATGTAAAAAAAACAAACAAACAAACCAACAGTAAGAGCTTGAGAACCTAAAAAAAATATAGAAACTACAGTGAGAACTGAAAGCCATATTCACCAACAGATAAAATTATAAGAGAATGAGTCAACAAAAGAAAAGTCATGAGAAAATATCAAAAATTTTTAAAAGTCAAGAGAAAAATACAAAACATGAAAATTCATTTAAAGAAAGGTGTGGCAGATTTACAAGATGCTAAGGTAGAAAGCTTGCAGATTCAAGGCTATAGAGGAGGTTGAAGGTCAGCCTGGGTGATTTAGCAAGACCTTCCTCAAGCAAACTAACTGCATTTTAAATTTAAAATTTAAAAAGATTTTATTTTCATTTTTTATTTTCTTTTTTAAGACACTGTTTCTCTGTTAAATATATATATATATATATATATATATATATATATATATATATATATATATATTTGCTATAGAGGGGTATAGCTTAATGGTAGAGTACTAGCCTAGAAAACACAAAGGTTCTAAGCTTAATACCCAGTACTGACAATAAAGGAGGGGCATTTAACTCATGTAATATATACCCGAGGAAGAGTGGAACAAACAGAACAGTCATGTGTCATTGTGTAAACCTGTTATCTCAACACCTGGGAGGTTGAGGCAGAAGGATTGCAACCTCCAGACTAGTGTGTACTACAGAGCAAATCCAACACTCAATATAGAAGAAAAAGTAAGACATCCAAATATAATAGAATGCTGTCACATAACTGTAGCCCCAGTTTTCAAGAGACTTATGTGAGAGGATGGTAAAGTTTATTAATTTTTAGAAATGCAGTTTCTTAAGCAGTGGTGATTTAAAGAGATCTTTCATATATGTTATATGATATATACAAAGGGTTCATGGTATATGAAGAACTGTCAGCATCATCAGTGATGAGGTTAAATAATAGAAGGACTAAAATTTACATCTAAAAAAAATGTGTCAGTAAGAAAGTGGACCAAATAGATTTCCCAGGCACTGCTTCCAACATAAATTTGGACATCCACTTTGGAATTTACTGCATCTGTTGAAGAAAAGAATCCATCTTAACTCTGACTTGTCTACTCACATAAGCAAAGAGAAAATCTGAGGAAGACTTTTGAGCAATGTTTAATACAGCATTGTTACAGACACAAGTTAAGCCATCCAAATCACTGTCAATAATAAGAGAAAATTGCTTTTGGGAGCATTTCCAAGAAGCTAATAATGCTTCATTTTTTGGGACTATGCTTATTAATTTTATGTATTTGTTTTGCTGTTTGCTAACATATATTTTAGATGAAGTATTATATTTACAAATATATATCTTATGTATTTGTTTTGATGTTTTCTGACACATATTTTAGATGAAGTATTATATTTATAAATATTTATATCAATTTAAAAGCAGTTACAAGTTGGGTGGTGGTGGCACACACTGTTAATCCCAGCACTTGGGAGGCAGAGCTAGACGGATCTATGTGAGTTTGAGGCCAGCCTGGGCTGTTGCTGGAGGGCTTCTTTCCAGGTTCTACCAAGCCCCTCAGTCCCACAATGAACGTATAAAATAATCACTCAGATGCTTATATTACTTATAAACTGTTTGGCCGTGGCAGGCTTCTTGCTAACTGTTCTTATATCTTAAATTAACCCATTTTTATAAATCTATACCTTACCACATGGCTGGTGGCTAACCGGCGTCTTTACATGCTGCTTATCCTGCCGGTGGCTGCAGTGTCTCTCCCTCTTTCTTCCTGTTTCCCCAATTCTCCTCTCTCCTTGTCCCACCTATATTTCCTGTCTGGTCACTGGCCATCAGTGTTTTATTTACATAGAGCGATATCCACAGCACTGGGCTACAGAGTGAGTTCCAGGAAAGGCACAAAGCTACACAGAGAATCCTGTCTCAGAAAAAAAAAAAAAAAA